AATCTTATTACTTATATTATCTGGGCCCGGGGCGGATTTTGGTTTTAAATTTTTAATTATATCTTGGACCTCTTCGGGGGTCACTGAATTTAGAGGTTCGCCTTCCGGTGGAAGCGCAGCCCTAGTCTCGATTACGCGGTCCACCTCCGTTAGGTGGGCCGAATCGGTGTGTTCGCGCGATGGCGTACATTGCTGCTCTAGGTTGTCCGCAAGGCATTCGGCTTTTTCGGAGTCATCTAGGGCTACTGAAGCGCTATTAGAACTAACTAACGGCGGTAGAGATTCGCGGGGGTCTGCTTTCAGACTGCGGGCCAACCGCCAGTAGGCGGTGTGCGATGGCTCGATGTCCTCTAGGAGAGTGTCCCACGTTTTATGTCGGTGTTCCGATACACGATCTTTGACTTCTAGCTGAAGGCGTCGAAGTAGAGTACGGTTCGATTCCGATCGGTATCGGTCGAAGGCGCGTTTAGCTGCATTTTTTTTGTCTAATTAGCAGTCGTAGGTCGGGCGGAAAGTTAAACCGTCGGTCGCCCGACAGTTTCACCGTCCGTTCCGAGTCTGTGACTGCGGAAGTAATAGTTTCACGGAGACTCGCTATCGCTCGATTTGCGTCATCGAACGTAGCTATCGTCTCGGGTAAGTCTACTAAGTTCTGGGGGTCCAAGGCCTTGAGTTTGACCTCAAGACGATGCCAGTCCACTACGGATTTGGTCGGAGGGACCGCGCCGGCGTTCTGGCCCAGTTTACACAGGACGGGCCTGTGGTCTGAGTCTAGTTCATGGATTGTCTCTATCGACTCGATGTCGAGCGAGACCTCCCTGAATAACATTATGTCTAGGACACTCGGTGACGCATGCTGGTAGTTGTCCACCGTAGGATACCTAGTGGGAGTCGCGGGAGCGACTATGCTGAAATTTAGGTTATCGGATAAGCTAAAGAGATGCTTTCCGTTGTTGTTTGGGATGCTGTTAATGTCCCATGAGCCGTGTTGCAGTTTAGATCTCCTGCAATTATCACGGAAGGGCCTAAGTTTAGAAGCGTATCTAGGTCGCTTTGGAGGAGGGTTCTATTCCCCGAGAGGTAGGCTGAGACTAGTACAAGCGGCCTGTGGCCGGTGAGCGCTAACCTACACGCGGATGCCTCTATTTGATTTAGCTCTGGAATGTCGAGCGGGCAACAGTGCAAGGACCGTTTATAATAAATTAGTGTGCCTCCCAGACGGTTTGCTAACCGATCGTGGCGGACAATATTGTAATTTGCGATTCTGGGATCGCGTACGCTAGGCTTCAAGAAAGTCTCTTGCACTAGGAAGATATCTACATTATAATCGCGAAGGAATTCCGCGATTTCGTACCTTTGGCCGTTTAGGCCGTATGCGGTGAAATAAGAGGCAACCAGAGCCCGAGGTTTTTGTTTTACCTGCGGTTGTACTTCCCATTAAGGTGCCTTTATGGGTCTAATTAACGACGCGGCGGAGCGCGGTTTTATTTTGCGCGGACTATTGATCTTTATGGTTGGCTCGTAAAAGCCCAAAGGGCTTCCACAAGCGTTTTGTGCTGGCTAATTGCCCTAAGACGCTCGTGGCCAGATGGGGCGGCCGCTAATTTAGCGGACAATACGGCGAGTTCCTGTCTATTTATTGTATCCAATAAACTGCAAATGTTCGCTAATTGCGCGAATGGGTCGTCTTTGTTTTCCGCGAAAACTGACGGAATTGGCTGCACCTGCGGCCGCGGCGCCGTTTGAGAGGCGGGCAGCTGTTTCGCGATCGGTCGTGAGGCGACCGGGATTACCGGCGCGGTTACCTGCGCGGCCACCTGGGGTTTCGCCCAGGCGTTTACGACGGGTACGGGCGCGGGAATGAATTTAACGGGCGCGGGTTTGGGCAACGTCGATTTCGCGGGAGATTTCCTCGCGGGAGTTTTCGGGGCCTTAGCGCAGCCTCTGTAGCTAGCCGGATGACCGGTAGTGTGGCAATTTACGCAGTCCGGTGGATCTGCGCAATCTTTCGCCCTCGTGCACTCGGTTGTGCCGTGGTCACCGGTGCATTTGACGCACCTTGGGTGAGCGAAGCAGTTATTGGCCGTGTGGCCGAAATGTTGGCAGTTGTGGCACTGTGCCACAACACCCGATTTACGTGGGGGGCTCGATGACTAAGTCACTGAGCCCACAGACCCTCTTGAGGTTGAAAATGGCCTTACCTTCCGGGGTAGGGTCAAGTTCCACCATGACCATGTCCATAGGGACACGGGTGCGAGGGTGCCTGAGACGGCGCACGGCGTGGACAGGGTATCCCTGAGTGCGGATGTCGACCTTAGCCATATCGACATCCGACTCTTTTGGGACGCCCTTTATTACGACCCGAAGTTTGCGCTCTTCGGGTAGAGAGTAGGTGTGGAAACCTACCTTAGCTTCGCGCAAGTATTTAGTTGCGCGACGGAAGTCGTCCGAAGAATTGAGGTATACGCGGATACCCATATGCGTATTCTTGGACCGGGGGTCTCGGATGTTGTGGCGTTCAAACCACGAACAAACTTGGTGCCACTTTGCCTTATCTTGTATTATAATAGGTGGCGGTGGCTTAATTTTTCGCTCGGAGGCGAAAGTCGGTTCCGACTGGGCAGACGCGGCTGCCTTTTTGGCGGGCGTCGCGGTGGGACGGTTTGACGGGGCGGCCTCGCTTTCGGGGTCGCTGTCGGTGGCGGGGCGTTTCTTGCCCTTTTTCCGCGATTTGACGACGGTGAAGCCGTCGGCGTTCGCGTTATTAGCGGGGGTCGTTTCGACCTCCATGTCTGAGCCGCCGTCCGATTGTGAGTCGGGAACGACAGCGCAGAAGGGGGCCGAGGTGGTTTGCGCGGAAGGCGCGTTGGGTTCGTTCGCGGCGGCGGAAGTCGACGCGACGGGCGTATTAATTGTCGCAGAGGGCGACACAATAATTGGCGCGGAGGGCACCGGAGATGGCGGCGAGACGGCAGCCGGTGAAGCCGGACTGTCGCTAGTAAATTCGACGGCTAGGCGCCGTTCACTCGCGAATTTGAGGAACTTTGCCCATATTTCGGGGCATTCCTCCCGCAGGAACTCCTCTAAGAGGGAACCCATTGCGACGCTTGTGCCTTTGGGGCTTGCGCCCCGCCGGCGTGTGTTTTTCTAAATAGGCCTCCCCACCTTGCGGCAGGGAGGCGTGTGCCTAAAATTAGCCTTTAATCGCCTGCGCTTTAGGTGCGCTAGGGTGAGTACCTAGCTGTCGCCTAATGCAACAAGCACACAGATAAAAATTACAATGCCGCCTCTGAGACGAGAAATGTGTGTAGAATTCTACTTACGGACAGGAACCTGCCTACGAGCACAACACTACACTAACACTATCCGCTCGGAAGTCGGTCAAAGTTTCTTCTTTCTTCTGTAATTTTTCTTCTATCTTCTATAATTATTCTTCACTCTTCTTGCTTGAGACTTCCCTAACCGTAGACCGCGAAACACGACAACGATGAGGCAGGCAGTGCACACCGAGATGTAAAGGAAATAATATATATAGCAACAACGGTTGCAAAATGGCTTCCGGGTCGGTTGGCATGGGCCCTCCGGCTCAGATTAACGTCCGTTCCGTGTGGAAGCACGAAGCGAATGTAAAACCTAAAACTATAAAACCAAATTGTTATCGTGCTATAACTCAGCTGTGGTTAATATCAATGATTCTTAATTAACTTTCCTTGTTATTAGTAACGTAATTATGGTCACATCAAATTAAAACTAACTGGATAATTTACTTTATTCATGTTATTGATATTTATAACCCATACGATAAAATAATATAATTGAATAAAATATATTTTATAATATTTTTTTTTTTATGTAAGACGATGGCATGCGAGCTGCCGGCACCCGTTGTCAAGCGAGAGCGCCGCCCATGGACAATTGCAACACTCAATACAGGGTTGCAAAGGTGTTGCCACCTTTCAATAAAGTGCGCCCCGGTTACCTCACACCCCAGACGAAATGCAGAAGTATATTAATTAACACTAATTAATATACTTAATTAACACTTCCACATTATTCCACAATAACACTTCTACATTACTACTTCTATTAATTATTTACAAATAAATTAAATAGTGTCATATCTTAAATCTGTAATTGCGGGGGGGGGGGGGGGCGAAGACGCAATTGCTATTGAATTTTGGCAAATTCACTAATCCACTAGGATAAGTTATGACTTCACACGCTATGACAGCGCTTATACAAATGTGTTAGAATCGTTTTAAATGTTCCATGAGCATTATCTCAGTGTATTTATTTTATGCCTCAAGAGCCCCTTGGAGCTTATAGGTTTTATACTTTTATTAGCACACTTTCGCAAAGTACGTGTAGTATGATGAGACATAGTCAGTTTACAGAAATGAGTGTATAATTTTTTTTAACATCGCACATTTTTACAGAAAACTTTTTAAGTTTAGTAAAAGCTAGTTTAATGTTGTATTCAAGTGGTTTTGAACTTTCAGACGTTTCGAATTCTTAACTCTATTATTGGACAAGGCAGAGTACGGTGTTTCACTATTACTGTCGAAGTTAAACCAGGCTACCGATAATTTCTTTATCTATTTACTTAGAGACTTCCAGAGGCGATGTGATAAAGTCTTAATTTACTTTATTAATAATGGATCCTACCTATGGTAGCCCCAATAACTTTGTTGAACCCATACCGGATTCTCATCGAGAGCTTCACGTTTTCTAATCAGAGGCGGATTATCGGCAAAATCAATAACGGCGGGCCAATTTCACCAAGAGTCGACTAATATCGGAACTAATGGGGGCGAGTATCGAACACATCGGCGTGCACGCATTGCGAAACCGTAATAGTACGTAATTGTATCGGACACGTTGCTCGGCAGGTAAGAGGTAAACCGGCCGGCTGCGGGAGCTCTAATCGCACGTAGCGCCTGCTCCGGCCGGGCGGCACACGACGCGCGGGCGGGTTATAGTCGCGCGCCGTACCGCGCTCACACCGGTCGTATGTAGAGCACGCGGCGGGCGAGCGGCGATGCCTCCGACAAAAAATCAGTGTAAGCTCCACACCAGGCCGCCGCGGTCGCACACGGTCGCTCGTCGCCACGGCAACCGCACGAGGCCGCGATCGCTCGCACAAGTTGCGAACTCCATTCCGCGCGCAACTCGTCACCGGCTAGTTCGCGTTGTCTAAGCGTCCGTAGTGCGCGTCCAAGTGTCAAGTGCTCCCATTCGGGGTCCGTGTGTAAGTTGGGCGACATATGGCCGAGGTCCGGCGCGTCAGGCTTGTCGCGCTTAGAAGTTAGGGTCACGAAGTTCGAGCACGCGCCCCCGCTGGAGGCTCACCGTTCACTTATTTCGGCGCACTTGCATCACCGTTTTGCGTTTGATAATGAATGCATCGTTCAAAAACGAATTAGTCACCGCTTCCCTACAAGGCCTCCTGGCAAGGGCTACTTTTATTTATCGGTAAACTAGTGGCAAACTACGCGCAGTGTTTGAAGTCACATTGCTGCCGATTAAACTTGTATCAGGCTTAAGTCACGGTAATTTTTACTTAAACCGGTTAAGATAGCATTTGTTTAATGAAAAGAAACACAAAGTTTTAATTTTAGAGAATAGCTTAAAAAGTTACAGAGTAAGAAAACAATAAATCTAGGAACCTTCACTGCTCCCAAGCGACATAATAATAACGATACCATGCATGTTCTATTACGAACATATCATCTACCTAATAAAGCATTGATAGAAAATCACCAAAGATTGCCGTACCATAAAGATAAGCAACATGAGCAAACCAGTATCTATCAATTTATCATATTAAGTTCACTTACGTACGCGCTCGTTCAAAACAGACGTAATAAGAATTATTTATTCTTCGGACTGGCTGGTTTTTGCAATAATATTAGTGAAATAAAAAATATATTGAAATTAATAACATCACGAGTCGCTAAGACTTTAAAATTAAAACTTCCAAAAATTTAAGTCTACAGCATACGTAATTAAAACTACCAATTAAATCACTTTGAATAAAAAGTTCTTCAATAATTTCAATATTATAAATATTTTTTCAACAGCAAAGAAGCCCTGCTTGGTGTTGAAACTATCAATAATCAATTTTAACATCGTAGAAAAGCTTACACTTAGCGATAGCGAAGTTTTAGTATAATAATTATATATACAGTATAGTAATTCAGAACAAACAGTATTTATTTATTAATTAACTATCACCTTAAACATACCTATCAGTTCTTTATCTTAAATACATCATTTTTAACAATTTTTAAAGATGAAAACTTATAGCCATTATCGGATTGACCGCAATGCAAATAGAATGTTGACACCTATTGCTATTAAAGCGGTCTTTATGCACCTTGTAAAAGTATAATGGATGGAGTAGAAGTTATCTTTAAGTCCAGACTGGGGAAGATGTATTCATCTGTAATAAGTATTACAACCTAATTAATACACCCTAACCCTAAATGCAGTTAAATGCATCAATGCATCAATGAACATTATTGCGTTTCATGACACATCATTAATAAAATATTTTATCAAAATTTCTACTGAAATGTATTTCACAATTTAATACATTTGGCTTAATGTGTCGTGGCATGCATAAATGTTTATTGATGGCTAACACATACATTTCTGTTCTATTTCTACTACCTTCTCTCTGAAATAGCCAATACTCACATAGTTGAGTAATCGAAATAATGTGATGTCATTTTGAGAGAAAATGAAAAAAGCCTGATGTTAAGTGATTACCGCCGCCCTAAGCTAATTCTCAACACCTGTGGTATTGGTATTGCGTTTCCAAACTTAAAGGGTCTCTTGTCTCCAATTACTTCACTCTTCCCACGAATAGGTACTTTACGTCAAAATTTCCTGGCCGTATCCTGTAACATTTTATACCACTATTCAGAATTTTTTTTTTTTAGGATATGCTTATTAAAAAATATATTTTTTTTTTGTTTATGATATGAATGTGCAAACGTGAAAACAAAATACGGTGGTTTTTTGTTCAGCGTATAGTGACAAAAATTTGTTAAAAATGTCCATCTGTCCACTTAAGTAAAATACTTGATAAATCGTTAAATATTCTTTTATTCAATTTAATTTATAGAAAATAATATATCTAAGTGTTCTATATTTTGTATATGCAGGTTTAGAAACTCCTTTAAAAATTAATTATTAGCACAAGCAAATGAAATTTTACTCCCAAATTCATGAATTGCAAAATGATTTTACAAGTATCGAAACGAAATAAGTTTAAATAACTATAATTTTACAATAATAATGATTTTACAGCTACTTTCTTATTTGTAAGACTAATTTAACATTGGCGTCAGTCGTTTCGTCAAACTTTCTGAACTTTCGTAAGACTTATACAAACGGAATGCTAAAATTAAAATATTTTCTTTTTTATTAAATGTTAAGCTATAATAATTTTACCAGATTTCTTTATTACTATCGGTGTTAATCAATTAAAGTATTGCCCATAAAGCACTAAACTTATAAAAAATAGGTAAATAAAAACTAAATTGCATCATGATTCACGTTAAACACTAAATTGAACAAAATGAAGTCCCAGACTTAAAATATATGTATTAAAAACTTGGAAGAGTACTAATTGAAAACTAATTGAAAACATCACGCATACGGTTAATAGCTACGATACTATTTAAAGAGTACTGCATCAACGAACCTTGTTTGTTTCGGTGTTGTATTAAAACAATATCTAGTTTAAATTGGGCCAAGCTGTTCCTTCTTTGTGCCAGTAAAAAGGCCACGGCGTCACAGAACACGGGGCTTTCTTAAGGTTGAAAACCGTGCAATAATCGTGCGAAAATCTTATTAGAGCTTTGCAATGGAACAGCTGAAACGCCTGCCAGTTTTATTACTTCTCTCATAAAATTAAAACATTAACATTTCTTACTTATGATTCAATTTAACTGATGGCTTTGCTTTCACCCATAGTTTCCAAAACCCTGAATTTGTGGGATAGCTAGATCCCACGAGCTTGATACGGCCCTCCTCTTCAAGTAGGCGCATATGCTGACAATTAAATAAAACATTAGTTTATTTAATTTTTTTATGTGAGAAAGTGGCAAACGAGCCAACTTCTCGCATAAAAAGCCATATTTTAATTGAGTGGGCCCCGCTACCTCACTCACCAGACGAAACACAAGTTTAACACTTCCACTTCACGTCGGTCTTCTGTGCAGTTTTGGTACTTACCCGAAGGCCCATTCGTGCACCAAAAACTGTTGCGTGGGCCCTAACACCGTAAAAAGTCAATCATTATAAGGCAAGTGTATTTCAAAGCTACTGAAATACGATTGATTTCAGTTCCGTACAATTATCTATAAAAACGGCAAAGAAGTCCGTTGTATGGGAGCCCCAATTAAATGTTTTTTAATCTGTTTTTTAGCATTTTTGTTATAGCGGCAATAGAAATACATCATCTGTGAAAATTTCAACAGTCTAACTATCACGGTTCATGAGATACAACCGGATGACACACGGACAGACCGACAGCGGAGTCTTTGTAATAGTGTACCGTTTGTGTACGGAAACCTAAAAATACCAACAGAACATCTGTTATGTTTTTCGTTAACAGATATTAATATCGTGATATAATTTAGATATATAGAAAACAGGAATACGGTTATTGTAAAATATCTCAGACTTACGCTGTACTCAAATTTAGAGTGGAGGTGGAGACTAAACCCTGATGCTGTCAAAATGGGGGTCGGGAGACTAGCTCTCTCATTTTATGGCACACTGTTTGATAATGTAACTGTGAACGGAGATTTAAAATGATAATCGAAGTGTTAAAACGACCCACTCCCGGGTCGTTTTAACACTCGGTGGTATCGTCGTTGAATTTTTCACACGTTCTAATATACTAATAGGGGTTGAGGTCAACTACATTTTGCACCTAAAATCTTTTTAGAAATTCCAGATAACTTAAGCATAGACTGGAAAATGAAACTGTGATATTCTTACGTTAAATAAGACATCATTATTGGAATAAAAGAAAATCATTGTTGTTATATTATTAGCTAATACCCACGACTTAGTCTGCGTTACTTGTTATATCCACAATGTATGTTCGGTGCAGAGGAAAAACAATCAAAAAGCTCGAAACTTCTCCACCCCACTTCCCACGCAAGAATACATCAATTTTGTTTCTTAAAACTTTAATAACTTTAGATTAAATGAAGATAATAGAATCGGGCGGTTAGCTTAGTGGTTAAAATCGTCTGGGCACGAATCTGAACAAGTGGGTTGGACGTGCGATGAAAAACTTTTCGTTTCCACCGATAATTGACTCATCACGATATCTCTGGAACCACTTATGGTTGACAAATTTCAAGTCTCTACTACGCTAAGGCGTAGAGACTTGAAATTTGGTAGGAATATTCCGGAATAACGAATTTTACGAAATTCCACAAAACAACGTTTACCGGATCAGCTAGTACCATATATATGTAGGTACATATTAAATAAGAGCCAACGGTCTAAAAATATAAAACTTGAACGATTAATTGAAATCTACCCCGTAGTGTTTACGTGAATGATATGGCCAATATGTCAGACCTCTATAATTTAATTTATATATGTAGAAAATATGTAATACACAAGATTAGTCCCTGTATTGGTTGATTTTGTATAATTGCGTGCATTATACATTTATTCATAAGAGCAATTGCTTAGCTTAATAAACATAGCGAATATTTAGAAATCAATGTTCTTGTATTGAAATACGTTATTTAAAAAATTAAAAAAAAATAGAAAACAGTTATGTATAAAGCATACATAAATGTTAAAGGTATTTTTTATATTCAGATATAATTATGAAAGTTAAAAGAACTGATTTGTGGAACTTAATAAAATAAATTAATCGCACGGGACCCTCGTCGTTCAATGAACTTACAATAAAATAAATACAAACGTAATACAAACAACACGTACGAATTATAATTCACCAGTGACAACAGGAAAGTTATAAAAGAAAGAATGCGCATGGAAAACCGAATTGAGATTCAAGGTTGATACATTTGCAAAACCATTTTATATCAATCCTTTGTTAGCTACAAATACTTCAGATGTTTTTTATTCGGAAAATCCTCGCTCGCTGCTTCTCAAGTAGCTATCACATATGATCTCTATCATAGTGATATTCAAACAAAACATTTTGTAACATAAACAAAACCGACTTCAAATATCTCACTCACTTTGCATTCGGTTTCGGTTTGATTTAATTCGAAGGAGTATCTCTGAAGTCAGAGGTACCGATTAAATGAGTATGGGACCACAACACATGAGTGCTAAACTTTGCCCGATGCAAAAATAAAAAATCGGTTCGTAAATGACACAGTTCTGAGGTAAAAACACATAAAAAATAATACGATCGAAGAGAATCTCCTTTTTTGAAGTAAATAAATAAATAAATAAATATTTAGGACACATTTGTACACAATATTTTCTAGTCCCAAACTTTTGCCTTTAATCAAAGCTCCAGCCCATGTTGTTATCTCATGAATGGGCAATTTAAATACTTCTCACGAAGTGTCATCCTCTGGGTACGTGTCTAAACGTCACCAAACCAAACTTTGATTGGAGTCCCTTCGTCAAAGTTTCTTTCAACGGAAGAGCTGTCCAAACGAATCTATAGAACTGCGCAAAGCATAAGTGAATTTCGGATTGGTCACGTGCCTCTTCCTACTTAATACATATTTGGTAAATTTGTCTTGAACCTACAGACAAGTTTTAATATGTTTTATTTATTTTTTTTATGTGAAAAGTTGCCAAACGAGCAGACGGTTCACCTGATGGATGGTGAATACCGCCGCTCATGGACATCTGCTACACCTAAGGATTACAGATGCGTTGATAACCTTCTGAAAATTGGGCTTCAGCTACCTCACTCACCAGACGAAACGCGAAAGTATTTGTCATATTTCCACTTTACGCTGGTCTTCTGTGAGGTCGTAGTAATTACCCGGACGGGCCTGCCCATTCGTGCAACAGCCGAGGCTGCTGCGAGGCCCTACCACCGTAGAGTACCACCGTTTATTAGTAGCTGATATAAATAACATATCAAAGAAATATATGTTTCATCGGTTTTATCAATATACGTGACCCGGGACGCACTAACGCATCTACATATTTGTATACGCATATACATTTATTTGTATTTGCGTATATTTTAAAATCTATATATTATAGGTCCAGCTCTGGTCTAATGACTCCTCTGTACAGAATGTATTAAGACATAGTCTGTTAAACGTCTCCATTGCGGATTGTTAGACTAGGTGGACGAAGTATGCAGTATGAGACGCATTCATTCACTACCGAGAACGTGGCTAATTGAGCTGTTCACATTGCAATGAACAATTTCATTGGTGCCGGCACTGACGTTTGAATTCAGGTGTAGAGTATTCTGAATCAAATTCGAGCCCTTAACACCAAGCTACCATAGCACAAGAGCTCCAAACACCACAGTACAATTTTTTAACTGAATACAATTCTAATTTTTAGACCTAATCTACACGGAAAACCTCAAAACATCACTGCGATTTATAAATACAAAACTAAGCCAAACATTCAACTACGCTTCCCTGTTGATACTATGTCAATACCCTTTATTCGTGCCACTTGAAGCAATAAATTTTATTGTCTTTTATAGCTGTAATAATAGTCTGTTTCGGGCCGCCGAAGAAAAGTTGAACTCTTCGCCAATAAATTCAATTAATGGCGTAAGATCTAACTATATTGCCAAACTTTTAGTTTTAACTATGTGTCAAAGTATATGTTAAGTCTAAAACTCTATTTGGATGAACTCGCACGAGTACTGTATCGAGTATCGATTTTGGGTCACTTACTTATAATGTTCACCTTGCCACAAAAATGTTGACCGGGAAAGTTAACGGGAGTTCAAATATACTATAGATTATAAGGCTCACACAAATTATTTTTTTCTTACTTGGGACAAAAACTTTATGGATCTCCCGTTGCCTACCCACAAGGCGGCGGGGGATCCATAAAGTATTTTTCCTATTTTTTTTCCACATTATTTAAGTATGTATGTGGGAGTTACGGGGGTACCCACTAAAAACTCACGTTGCACCCGCGCTGTTGCTTTTTCTGGAGGCACGGGTCTACGAAAACGCAATCTTCCACGAACCCCGACGCGACTGTTGCCTTTTCAGGCCTCCTCTCTCCAGGTGTTTGGACACCGGGTCCAGCCAAATGGTGCCGTGTCGGTGCAATGAACAACCCTCTCAAGACCTCCGCCAGGCAGCAGTTAGACCCATATCTGCCGCCCCGGAACTTGGGGAAGGTTGCGCGCCTAGGCCAGCCTCCTGCGCCCTGGTCCCCGGCGGCGGATTTTCAGGATGGCAGTTGCCTCCCTTTCTCTGTCCGCGGCCTCCTTCCGGGTGGTTATATCCTCGCAGATTGCAAGGACACCCCACGACCTCTCGCTGTCCACCATAGCGTGAATCACGGCGGGCAGCGAAAGATTGTGCCCCACGCTAGCCCTCAGCTCTCCGCGCTACTCCCGTCAGGCTGAGCACTTCTCCGGTGCGTTGGGCCCTCTCCTCACACTAATCAATTTGACTTAACCTCGACAACCTCTTTAATAACAATGATTACTAAGTCCTTTTACTTGCACTGTAAATGTAACCATTTTACAGATCTCATTTAATTATATGCATTATAATTTCAAATTTCAAAGTTTCGAACACTTTACAGCATCCATGGTCACGCTAATGACAGAGGCACCTTGTAACATCCGCGTCAGCTTATCGATTATCTGATAACTAATCCTTGCATCCACAGATGCTATATTACGTTCAGAGGTCAGGAATTATTGTAACCTAGCTTTTCCCGCGACTCCGCGCGCATGTACTAATTTTTATGTCGTGCTTTAAAAGTACCTACGGAACCCTTCGTGCGCGACTCGCCCTTGGCCGATTTTTTAACTTTATATAAACATACAATCATCATCATTTGGAGACCATATTATATAGTTGACTATAGTT